CTATCTATCTATCTATCTATCTATCTATCTATCTATCTATCTATCTATCTATCTATCTATCTATCTATCTATCTATCTATCTATATATCTATCTATCTATCTATCTATCTATTCATCTATCTACCTATCAATCTATCTATTTATCTTTTTACATTTTTATCTATCTTTATCTCTTCCCCTCCCGTCTCTCTCTCTCTCTCTCTCCCGTCTCTCTCTCTCTCTCTCTCTCTGCCTCTTTCTCCCTCTCTCTGTGTCTCTCCCTCCTTCCCACCCCCCTCTCTCTCTCTCTCTCTCTCTCTCTCTCTCTCTCTCTCTCCCTCTCTCTCTCTCTCTCTCTCTCTCTCTCTCTCTCTCTTTCTTTCCTTAACTAGGCATTATATTAACGACTTAAATCATGCAGAGGAAGAGCCCGAAACAGCAACGAACTCTCTCCTGATGATCTCCATGCTAGAGTCCGGGATACGGAGCGTTTTGCTGTGAGCAGTGCATAATATGGCTGTTTTAGACTACGTACAGCAACAAATTTTAATGTTGCTTGAGATGTGGGCTTTTGTAAGGTCTCAGCTAGGAAATCAATATTCCTTTTGAAAGTTTGCGAAATATATCCATAACTTCAAGTCTGCTTTATAAGTCCTGCCCGTCGTTCGGTAGGGTGTTGGTGGTGGCAGGTCCAACTTTATTCCTGGCTGCTTGCTATTTTTCCTCGCTGTTTTGCTATTATTTCTCGAGCACTTCTTGACTATATATGGTTTGATGTGCTTCCCGTCAACTTAAAAAAACTTATAGACTGTAACATGCAATAATGTTATAATATATTATAATCACACTGCCTAAGAGGAATACCTGTCTAAGAAAACACGTTCTTCACAAGGGTGGTCGTATAGGGCAGGTTCGAATGTATGAGTAGGTAGAAACCTTAATAGACTTATTTGCACGTGAGCCCTGTAATGATCTAGTGATGGGGCAATGTACAGATATTATACCTGCTGAAATATAAGAAAATAATTGTGTTGTGCAATGACGAAAAAACTCCACCTGAAAATGGTATACCCTAATAAGCTTTCTACTCTTTGTCTCAAGCGAATCCAAGGACAGGGTAGATTTATAAATGGCATAGAGTTGCGTACTCCTCTCGTTATTTATAGATATTTCAACAACGGGCTCTAATTAGTTGATAGTATATTTGGCCCTAACTATTACTCCTTTAAATCACCATCGTATGTTCACACTTGCAGTCTCATCCACTGCAAACTGCAAATGTGTGAGGACACGGTACAATCGGGCTTTCGTTAATTTTTGTTTGTGCAGAGTTATTGCATCATTGTAAAGTCCTGTTCGTTAGTCTTGCTTTAGATAAAGATATTCCCATCTTTCTTTAATAGAATTAGAATTAGAGATATTTGCTATTAACGTAAGTGAAGGTCGCCTTATGTCAAAGAAAAAAATTACCAAGGAAATGACTGCCAAAGATTGATGACTTCCAAAGCTTAAAAGTCCTTGGAAACTAAAAGTGTACATTTTGTGTGCTTTTGATCAACCTTTATTCAGTAGAATTCAACCAAAAATATGTTTTATATGGACATGAAAGATGTTAAGCCAAAAGTAAAATCGATTTTTTTTAAAGTGTCCAACAGACGGAAAATGACAGTTTCTTCGAGTTCATTATTTTGACGAGCGCCTGATTTCACCCCGACGCCACACTAAATATCTTCGCATCATTATTGAGGGACTCTGGATGACCACACTGAGAATAGATATTTCCAGCGTATAATCTTGGTCGGATCGCGTACTGCCAGTGCCACGGCTCCCTGGTCATTGTGTTGGATAAAGAGTTTATCGATCCTCCGACTCTGTGGGTATTTTCAATCAATAGTCCAAGGGACTGTAATCACCGCCCCTGGACCCGCACAGAACAACAATGGAAGCATCCGAAGCGAGCAGGAAAATCTTCCGACAATTTCCTGAAACACTGGGCTTTTATTTTCTTATTTTTTGCATACTTTGTTCCGTTATTTAGAATAGGTAGATACTTTTCTTTTTCAATTATCCCTGTCAACTCTGCCCCCCCCCC